GAGGGAACTCGGCTGGCACGAACTCGAAGTTTTCGAAGTAGACGTCTTGGATGCCGGAGAATTTATCGATGGCCCTACCCAAACAACAAAGGATTTCGCAACCAAAATAAGCAGCACAGCGATTCGCGAGAGGAAGGCCGAGGCGCGCAAGTAAAGATACAAGATTACTAACTAGTATTTACATTGCCAATACCCTGGTGAAGGCGATGCATCGTCTGCCAAAAGCCCATCACATGAATAGGGGTTGTCCTCCATCCATCAGAACTGTAGCAATCCTCAGTCAGCACGATCCATGGTTGTGAGTTCGAATAAAGTCCAATGTGAAACGTGGCATCATGCATATACGATCACCGCTGCTGTTCATAGTGTCCAAGAACCAAATCCGAACGGCCGTCTTCGAATTGCACATGGCAGAAGCGGAAAGAAATATAGCGGAAATGGGAGTAACTCACGATCAGGCCCATTAAAGTAGCTGCCAGCCCGACTAGCAAGCATGACCACAACACCACATAGCTCGTCCGGCCGCCCCATCCGTCCCAACGGGTACCAAGCCAAGTCTCCCTTGCCTCCTCAAGACCATCACCCTCGTTCAAAACTGTATCCATATATCCAGGCGAGATACTATTCACCCTGATACCATAGCGTGCCCATTCCCTAGCCAAAGACCTAACCATGGCCTTCACCCCAGCTTCTGAGACGTTGTACGTCACCTCTGGTGGGGGAAATTCACCTGATCGCTGAGATGCTCACGACGAAAATCATGCTACCCCCGTCTTATGCACAGTTATACGTCTCGCCATACGCGCCACAAAAGAACCTCCAATCATATCACTATCCATCGCGCGGTTGCCAGTCCTTGGATGGGCAGTCAAGGCCATGGACACAGCAGACCAGACCGGTGAAGTTGAGCAGCGTAGTCACGGGCCCGAGTAGCAGTACAGTCTCTGCAACAGCCGTATCAACCGCCGCCTCGTCCCTAATTCCGACCTTCAGGAATCGGATACTGGCTTTCGGAAACTCGGCTCCCAGCACAGAAACCCTCGACCTCCGCCTCGGTCGGGTTGGCGTCGAAGACCATCGGGCCTTCCACCCCGTACTCAAGTAGAGCCCTGCTCGCCGCGAACCCAAGGTCCCCGGCGCCACCCGTGACTATGGCGTTCCCACTCAACCTGAAGCGTTCGTGAGGCACGCTCGGCGGGGCTCAGGGAAGGGGACAGAGGGGGATGGTGGGCCGGTCAACGACCCCGAGGCCCCGGTTCCTAACGTCATCTAGGGGAGCATCCGGGTCGTGAGTTCTGCTCCCTCGGCGGTCATGGTCCCGCGTCTGATTTTCGAATCCGAAAGTTCTTCGATGAGGCATATTCCTTATTATAATCTTCGTCCGCCTCCCCCCTATTTGTTCGATTATATATTTACTGAGTTAGTATCGTGTCTCGAAGTAAATTTGGGTTGATCGATTAAGGTTCTCTCTTGGGCGTTCTGGGATTATATGAAGATGCTTGACAACCCTCAGATCAGATACCTCACATACGGTTTATTTTAGTACTTAGAATACTAGTGTGGTCTCCCGAGCGGTGAATACTCGTCTATTTACTTTACGCATTGCTTTTCCCCCTCTGCAGCTCCGCGGGTAGTTTCTTATTGCTGCTAGTGTCTACGTCAATTCACGTCTCTGTAGGCCGCCTGGTCAGTGGTCGCATTAGTACTTAGGTTCTTGCAGGTCGGGCTATCCAGACTATTGATCTCCCGTATCTTCAGTTAGGGGTGCGTCTGCATCATGTGTATCATATATATAAACTTATAACGAGTTATATCAAATGCCAATCACTCACTCCACTATACTCGTATATTACAAAGACCACCCCAGTAATCACCACCCCTTTCGACGTTGTCATGGATATAGACCAGTAAGTGCTCGCTTTTTTAATAACTATTCTTACCTTTGTTTTTCTTTACATCCTTGCATCAACATTCAAACAAACCTGTAATGAATACGCTAAGACTTGAGACGTAGTACTTATAGTGATTTTGATAATACGAACGGATATAAGGCGTCTTAAATCATCTAGTCGCCGTGCGCATGGTATATGATATGTTATATCCCTCCCTCCATGAGTTGGTTGCCGCTCGCGAGTCAGGCAATATTCTCTTTCCAATACCAAAGTACTGTTTTAATACTCATCTATATTTATATTTACATCTTCATTTTATCCTCGTCACAATTCTCATCCTCATCTCCCTTCGGTTGTTCTTCATAGCCCAGGACTTGCGAGTTGATCTACCCCAATCATAAGCGTACGGTAGATTAGGTAATCATGTAGAGAGGAGAGCCGTTATTATTCATTCGGCACATCTCAAGTTGGCTGTCCAAGAGCAATTCATCTCATACTCACTCTATACTTCTTTCTCTTATCGGCGTTCTATCTATACATTATAGCACGTTTCTCGCGTAGTCCATCATCCAGGGGGGTGGCTGCTGGTCACGGCTGCTGGTCACCCCTCTATCTCTAGCACTTACTGAAATTTTGCCCGCATATCACAGGCGTACGCACCAACTCATTATTCACGAAGACGACATGTCGCAAGCAGGCGAGACGAGCATACAACAACCACCAGCATGAAGTTAACAGGGAGACCTTAGGTATTTATCACTCCACACACGCATCTGCAGGACCTTTGCCCCTATCTACCACAAATAGCGCTCACGTCTCCGAACCCCGGATCCTCGCCCCCCGAGAAGAGCACCGGGCCAAGACCCCCACATGCCCCCTGATTCCAGCCATTATAATAAAGGCCCTCGAACCAGGGCCTTCGTCCCGGATTCGTGGTCCCATTCAGCACACCCGGCAGTCGCCCATTAGGACAAAGCTCGTTCCCTTTCAGCCGACTGGCACCACCCCCCGTGCCATTCCCCGTATAATACACGACCTCGCAGCTTCCGTGCCGCCAGGGGTCGAATCCCGCCGGCAGGCGATCGGAAGGCGACCCAACGAACGCCGGGATAAAACGCCAGGCGAAGCAGTTGTAGTATGCCGCGCACTCGGCGCAGCAGCTCGCCTTGTCCGGGACGCTGTTCGCGCCGAGCGTAACGGTGGCCGCGGGGAGAGCCGGGGTCGGGGACGCGAGGGCGGGCGCGTTGGCGAAGAGAGTTGGACGACAGAAGGCCGGGAGCGTGGAGATTGGGTACTGGCCTTGGATCTTGGTGCAGATTGTTGTCGAGACATGGGGAGAAGAAGAAGAAGGAGGAGACGCGGATGCCAGTGATGATCTTGGTGATGGGTTGGATGGGGATGGAAGAGTCGAGGTGCTAGGTGTGCAGTGCGGATTAGGCGCATTTGCGTCTCTCCGCGGACCGGTGGGAACCCGGATTGGTGTTGGGGGTGAGGCGTAGCTTAGCGGTGTCGCTGTTGCCGCGAGGGGGGCGAGAGGCCAGAATGTCATGGGGTGAGCTTCGGCTGTGACAGTGGAGGTGACAAGCTGCGAGTGCGTCAATGGTTGCGTTCGGCTGGCGATGGGCGATGCGATGATAAGATAGGATAGATAGGAGATAGGAGAGGAGAGGAGCAAGAAACGTGGCGTACTGGTTGCCCGACGACCTGTCCTGGGAGAGCTGTGACGACGCCGGCTAAGGCTGATGATCCGGCTAACAAAACAGTCCGCATGTTGACGGTGTTGAATAGGTGGCCTGCCAGATTCGTGGCGTGGCTGTCTGTTCTAGAAGGAGAGGACGGGGTATAGACCGGAGAGTCCCCCGTTGTTTGACGGAGATTATTTCATATAATCAGATTCCCCAGCGTGCGGATGATGAAGTAATGGGGCCTGCACCAGATGTCAACGCCAATGTCAGTGCCAATGATGTTGAACGCAGAAAATCCAACTGTAGCTGAGGCAGCAGACTTACCTTTACCTTGGAGGATTAAAACTGAGCAGCACGGCTGTTTGTGAAGATCGGAACAGGAATCTTCTGTCGAGACGCTGAACTGGAGGCTCACGTCTATATAAACAACATATAATATATATATGTACAATGTGTGTGTGTTTGATCCTTGTGTCGCACCTACATGTTGGTATTACCTTATATACAGGTACTTATATATGTAGGTAGTTCCCTATATAAGGTATGTATCAATATTCGTACAGAGACGGGACCGCGTTTCAGGGACAAACAGTCGAGTGATTGTTCGCCCCAGCCATACATAACATATATGGTTTACCGGCCTATGCGAGGCTCATGTCTCTGTGGCATGTCCATTCGTGACGCCAAGAAACGTCGTTCAAGGAGCAAGGGCCATCCGTTGTGCTACAAGTGCGGAATACCGATGTCATACCTACCTCTAGGGCAAAGAGAGTCGACCGCTGAGACGTAGTGTTCGAGCTACGCTTCCGTCCGCCGTCCGCCGTCCCTTGTGGCAATCTTGAACGAAGGCTCATCCCTACCCGGAGGTTCTAGACCATGGAGAACTACCTAACAGATTGCCTAAATCGCATCCGAGTTGGTTGGTGGTTTAGTATAGAGGCAGCCATACTTGTTGTGATTATAGCCTAAGGTCTGCTGGAAGACTGCAGGCGGTCTTATCTTGGCTAGAGTGTATAGCCTTTCGTACTAGGTAGATTGGTAGGGGTAGGTGTTGATACTCGAGCAATTCGTTGTAAGCATTTGGTATGCATCTTGAAGATGGCAAAGTCGTCAACGTGAAGATTCAGGCTTGCGGTCTACAGTACCGACCTGCATCTTATTACACGGTCTTAGTGGTAAGGTACATACATGTATCTAGCCGTATCTAAGTGGTACCATGGAATGGTTACAGGGCAGTTGGAGCCCAGACTCGGTCACATGTAGAATAGCACAAGTAGCTGTAAGGTAACAGGTTTTGTTATTTGAATTATAAAATACTAGTAAAAATAGACTCTTTTCTTTTATTTAAAAAAACAAAACAAGTTCAAGTTGTAATGCATTTTACCAGATATGTTTGATTACCTAGCGCACTGGCAAAAGATTTAACCCAACAAGGGATTCGAACCCTTAGCCTTGAGATACTTTATTACGTCTGCAGAAATCTCACGCGCTACCATTGCGCCAGTTGGGCTTTTACTGGAGACTCGGGACTGAGGCCTGCTCCGATTGGGAAGCCACGTTGCTACAAAATTATAGGTATGTAGATGGAAGTGCCTACATGTAAGAAACCGAGCTGATTCAAGTACTTCGCTTATCCTAATTGGGTAAGTACGCGCTAAGTGATGGTCGGATGATCTACGAAGCACCACCATAGCTACTGTTTTCCTTGTAAATGCCCAGCTGAGCCGCGCATCTGACAGAGGCTCGTGAGCCCACTACCAGGTACCTAACCTAAGGTACTAACATATATGTGCTTACTTAAGTACATCTGCCTACCAATCTCTGTTAGGTATCTGAGCTTATCGATAAATGCTTCTGCTGATCTCATCCCATGCCCTGCTTCGATGTGCCAGATATTGAATTATTGCACCTACCGTGATCTACAATGTACCTGCCTACCTGCATGCTCACTGCTATCTGCCCTTTCTCGAACCAGAGTTCGGCGAACTTTGCCTCCACTCATGCCTTCCGGCATCTCGCTACTACAAGTTCTTCTCGTATAGCAACAGTGGTTATTCGGTAGGCATCTCGAACTTCCCTCGAGGACCTTCTCTATTCCCCGGGGCTGTGCAATCGATGCCCTGAGACTGTCGGGTATTCTCGCCTCGGCCGTTTGAAGTTCGACAAGGACACGAACGAACCATGAGCGAACCATGAGCTTTACCGGAAACCTGTTCTCGAAGCTCGGGCTTGGCGATGCCGGAAGAGCATCTTTTATTGACAAGTACACATCACCGCCCTCGCGCGCCGTCGACGAACATGACGACGAACACGATCTTGCCGAATTGTCTCCTCGACCCGAGGATGCGCTGCTCGCAAACGATAGCTCTGATGATACTCCAGATCGTCACCGTTTCAGTGCCGCACCCAACAGCGCGAGCTCAATGCAGGCACATAACAAAGGCGACAATGTTGGAGTGAAGGCGTCCGTGACATTTCAAGAATCGCCATGGTGGCCGAATAGAAGCGATCCTGTCGCATATGATTACACCGCCGGGCAGGAAGTGGACCAACAACGCGAACAAAACGGAAAAGCGCCCGAGATCTGGCGCTCATCCTTCCTGACAGAGGTCCATCATCCGCACACCGAGACGCCCGGCCCTTCATTGTCTTTCTTCGAGACTATGTTTAAGGCCCGCCCGTCATACACCGAGCGAGCTCCTTCTCCTACCAAGGTTGATCAAAGTTTCAGACTGTTGGAGAGGCGCGAGCGCCAAATGCAACAGGAGCTTCAGCATCTTTTGGACGCACAGGATTACGCTCTAGAGAAACACCTAGCCAACACATCACCCGACAATGACGCTACACCGCGCTCCTGGACACCGGTGTCCGACCCACCAAATGGGCATGTCATCCCCGTGCGACAGCCCAAGAAGCGGCATTTATCAAAGAGAGAGGCACGCCTAGGCATTGCGCGCTGCATGAGCTTGTTGTCGGACTTGAAGAACGAGGAAGAGGCCTACATCGCTACTGCGCTCGCAGAGCGCAAAGCCGCACTGTCGAGATTGCGCAACTTGTCGACGAAGCGGAGCTCCATAGTCGCCGAGATGAAACTGATTGAGTCGGACAACCATCGGCCAGTCAAGGACGAGATCAGGAAGATGGAGCACCAACACCGCGCTGTGTGTGACAACATTCTGGAGCTGGAGGAAAAACTGCGCCAATTGAAGCGTACAAAGAGCAGACTCGAAAGCAGAATTGCCGAGGCAAAAAGCGCCCGGGACTCGGAGCTCAGCGGATACAAGGGTGCATTGAACGAATGCGACAAGCAGATCGAAAACGTCATGAACTACCCCAAAGTCTCTATTCTCGAAGTCGAAGGGCTCATGGCACAAGACGCCGATCTTCGTACCCTGGCTGGCCAGCACATCTCGGGCTTCGAATTCCTCTCACTGAGGCCTGAACGGCGAACGCCGCCCATGGCCAAGGATTGGTGGGAAGGAGAGGTCCAAGTCCTAGAACTACGCAAAGTAGCCGTAGATAAGGAGCGCGCTGCTCTAGATGAGGGGACGAAATTGTGGCAGGATATGCTTAGCCGTCTGGAAGATCATGATCGACACCTGAAGTCGACTTTTGATGCTATGTCACGATACGCCTCAGAGCAACAGCATGCTTCTAAGTTTGGTGATCTGGGCGAGGTCCTGAAGAAGCAATACGCCATGTGCAAAGAGACGACGCACGAGCTCGAGAAACTCTACGATTACACAGAGACACAGGGCTGGAAACTTCTCGTCACGGCCCTCGGGGCCGAGATCAACTATTTCCGCGGCCTGAAGACGCAGCTGGGCGATACTCTCCATTTTGTGGGTTGGGCTGATGGCGTAGTGACCCCTCGACCCGATTCACCGTCGCGGGCCAATGCACGCGCCGGAGACGATTTACTCGGTATAGATCGCGGGAACGCCGAGGCAAGATCAAGTAATAATCTAGAAGAAGAACTGACGGGGAGTGTCCTCCGTCGCTGGGAAGGTACCGCCGAGCTTGGACACTCAACATCTAATATCAACATCGATGCCCAAACCAACGATCATATCGACGAGGCGAAGCACCATGAAGACAGTGATAACGATAATGATGTGCCGCCGGGTCTCTTCGCCGAGGAGCACCACGAAAGCGATGACGAACACAACGAAGTGCCGCCCGAATTCTTGTATATGCACAGTCCCTCGCCGAGGTCGCGGGGAAAGGGGAAGGGGTTGGTGAAGATTATGCCAAGACCAGAAGCAGAGGGCGAGGGTGTGAAAGAGCGGGAAAGTCAGGGCGGTGGGGATACAAACGAGGGAAATGAAGAGGAGCAGGAGACACATCCCCTAAGCAGAGAGAGCAGTACAAATGAAGTCCCACCGGATTTACTGGCTGAGAGTCACCAGTCAGTTGAGTAATATCTTTTACTTTTTGGTTGATTCGTTGCCGTTGTTGTTATTTTTGGCGGGTTTGGGATTCTCTACCCTCTTCTCTCTATTTCTATATCCATGTATGTCTACCTTATATTTTACCCGCCGGTGGTAATGAGACTTGGGTACTCCAGGCGGCGTTGGGATGGACAGGGGCGGCTCCCGGTCGAACGGCGTTACGGCGCCTTGTTTTTTACAGGCGGATACATATTCAGGGACGGAATGGGCCCGACGTACGATGTATAGACAGACACGACTAATAATGACATATCCCTAACATGAACTTCAAGTATTATTTTACCATTCATACCTACATGACGTGCCAGTACTGTGCTGGTTTGTAGAAGCTGCAGATATAGCTGAATACATAGTACACGTCGACTTGCCTACATACATTTACAACACATATAGGTCGTAGTATACCTCTATAAAATATTCACATTATGTCCACCCATGTACTTTACTCACCTTGCTTTACCTTACCCAATACCTCCTGACCTCAATCCATTTTTCAATGTACTGTCAAGTCAAGACAAGTCAAGTTAAGCCCATCCATCTATCCCACAATTTTCAGTCATATTCATTCTGTATATGTGTTAATAGCCATATATCTACATAGATCTCTTGTTGAAATGGTTTTTTTTTCTTTTATTTTTTTTTCTTTTCTTCGTTAAGATAACATGATTACTTGATCAGAGTAGGACGAAAGGAACCCTGATGACCCAAGCGGGTGCTTAGCGTCGGCCAACCTCGGTTATTCGGCGGAATGCGGAACCCCAGCAGGTACCTGCTAGGAGTGATAGAAATCCCACGATGTATATATTTTTTGCCAGCAATACAACATTTCGCCGCACGGCTTCTCTATAATCGTCCTTGTTTGCTGCTGGCGTGGCTGTCCTCGGCTCTGTGCACATGGCCTTGCACCTGTATGTGCGTACGTTCGCCCGTGCACATGGGTCTGAACAAGTATGAGAGGAGAGCATTGGGATTCGGTTCGACAAGAACTACACATCTTCCTTCTCTAAGACCAAACGCCATACCAAACGCCACGACCAATATCGTTCTTCGCCAGCAGAAAGCAAGGCGCAATAAGCAAACCCCTTCTTGGCATACAAATATGAAGGTTTCGGAAGCTTGAACGATGCATATGAGAATCGGGAAGAGCCACGCTTCGTCCCTTTGGCATTTCTATAACCCTAAGGGGCCCGTGACCGGTCATGATCTTCGTATCCATCCATTCATCTAGATATCCTCTCCGAGCGCTCTATTCAAAGGGGCCCGAGGATGGGGGAAATTCCGCGTCATTAACACGATGAGGCAGCCGGGGAAATGGCGGTGAGACTATCGGGTGCGTTCGAAGAATTTACTGGTACCGGCGAATGCTACCGACTGATCCAGCACCCACTCGCCGACGCCGAGGTATTTGCCGACCCATTTGTTCATCTCGGTATTCTCGCCCGTTATACGCTCGCTCCTGACGCTGTAACAGGTCGATCATCGGCCACGGTCAGCTTCTACTTCTACGTGTTCTCTCATTTTCCACCTTGGGTCGTCACCGTTCGTTCCAGACTACCGATGGAACAGGGGGTTCGCGGGGAACTCACGTGAGACCGGTCGAGCGTCGCATGCCGGCAAGGATGGTCGAGACTGCGAGGCAGAAAGGCGGGTTAGCCAGTGGCGAGCCGAAGGCGCATTACCGTCCGAAGGGCTCTAGAGATTCGAGGGGCAACGTACTGAGGACGGCGTCAAAGGCATAGTGGCCTAGTCGTCCGAGCTTTCCCCAGAGGCCAAATGTCAGTAAGTTGAGGAGCTGATGACAGAGAATGTTCAGAATTCAGCTTGCTCGACGGAGGGGGTAGGCGCGGAGAGAGAACGAGGTGCACATATCCGAATTCTGATCAGCCAATACGGGCGGGGCCGCTCACGCGAGGCTGGCCATGGTTCGGGATGGGGGGTTCATGTCAGTGGGAGATGACTTACAACCATCTTGATGGCGTCTTGGGGGTCGGTCGGGGTTCGTTTCTTCGTTATCTCTTTGCAGAGCCGGCTAACCGAGTGTAGACTTGGCCTAGTGTGC